AACCCAGATTGATGTACCCTGCAAAGCTATCTTTCAAATTTAATGGAGAAATAAAATATTTTCATGATAAAGAACAACTGAAGAAATTCATGAGCACCAAACCAATCCTACAAAGAGTACTAAAAGATATTCTAGAAAGAGATAAAACAGACCACAACTTCAAGAACAACAGCAGAAAGGAACCACCAAGCAGAGCAAGCAATTAAACAGAGGAAAAAAGGGGGAGCCAGCAGCAGGTAAATATAAAAATATAGATTCTTCACTTATGTAGTTACTTTTTTTTTTGAGACAGAGTCTCCCTGTTAGTTGAGGCTGCCCTTGTACTTACTATGTAGCCCAGGCTAGCCTCAAATTTGCAGCAATCCTCCTGCCTCAGCCTCCCAAGCACTGGGATTATGGGCATTTGCCACCACACCCAGCGTTAGTTACTTTCAAAACTATCAGAACATAAAGAGAGTACTTTAACTTGTACTTTTTTTGTTAATCCCCATTTTTTGTTTTTAAAAAAATTTATTGATTGATTGATTGATTTTGTCTTTTTGAGACAGGGTCTCACTACGCAGTTCAGGCTGGCCTTGAACTCACTCTGTAGCCCAGGCTGGCCTCAAACTTGCAACGATCCTCCTGCCTCAGCCTCCCAAGTGCTGGGATTACAGGCATGCGCCACCACGCCGGGCTCCCTACTTTTAAAGTAACATTAAAAGGACAAAATTGTGCCAGGGTAGGAAGGATAGAGTCTTCCTATACTGCGCTAGTGCCAGCTCCTAGACACCAGTGAGAGCCAGCTGTCAGATACACAGAACATTTGTGAGTCCTCACTACACGCTCTGAAAACAAAGCTTAGTTTTCCGGTAAATAGTGAAGTAGTTTTCAAACACAAGGCTATATGGGAAGTCCTATTTTTTTTTTCCTGGAAAGTGAGTCCCAGAAAACATCAGAGCAGCGCCCCTGGCACACAGTGAAACAGAAGCACAGCAAAGGAGCCAGAGTGTGCACCGCTGCGGTCCACACACTGGGGAGCAGGAGGGAAAATTCGCTTCAGCACCATCAGTTCCCTTAATGAAACCTGCATTTCTTCTAAAACCTGGAAACAGGTGGGTGAGGTAAGCGGTGATAAAAGGATAGACTCATTATTTCTGCATTTTGTTTCTACTCTCTCCATTAAATACAAGAGGTTTCAACACTTGCAAGCCTAGAAAGATCACATAGGTGCCCCCATATGCAGTGCTTCTCAGGGGCATCAGGTGAATGGTGAGGAGAACATATAAAAAATATTGGGGGCAGGGCTGGGGATTTAGCTCAGCAGCACAGCACC